GTTCATGGATGCGCTCTGCCAGCCTTCTGCCTGTCTGTCCTACATAGTGGCATCAAGTCCAACCTCCTGCTTCTCACCGTCGCCAACCAAGAAGCCTTCCCAGTAAAGCATTAAGCAGACGGCTTTCCCAATCCCACTTTATAGGGTTCTCTTATGAATAGAAAGCAAACCCTCTTCCATGCTGACTGAAGTTCCAGACAGGGAATCGACATCTTTACTTCCCCAGTAAAACTTGCCTTGCAGCACATCTGCAAAGGCAGGTTAACCAAAGCCCCTCCATGGTCCCTCCAAAGCCCCTCACCAAAGAGAGACAAAATTTCTTTTTTTTTTTAAACCAAGCTTCAGGAGATGGAAGGGAAGGAGAAGCTTGCTTGGGCAAGCCACAAAGGACATTCTCCTGGCCCCTTCTTTGCTGGTTAGCATCAAGGAAATGGTAAAGGCAGGAAGATTGTGGGGAGTTTTGAGAATAGGCTGCAGGGAGTTCACCTGGAAAAGAGGACCAGAGCATTTCTTTGGAGAAGTGGAGGCAGCCTTGGAATGGGGGTTAGTAGAAAGTCCAGAGAATGTTCTCCCCTCTGGAAACAGTGAGTTGCACTCCAGGTTTATGGAGAGGAAAGGGCTCATTTTAAGGAGCAAGCTGGGAGGACTGCACCAAGGCGAAGGGAAATGGAGTGAAGGTAGAATTGCTTCAGTGTCTGATATAAGATTGCAGTATCCAAGAGGCAGGGAACGCCCACGTAATACAACCAGGACATTGTTTGCAGGAGCTAAGAAACTGCAGCGAGGTCTAGATTTACCTTAAGGTGTGTGCTATGTCTGTTGGATTGTCTCTGGTTAATTGTCTCTGATATTTTTTATCTCAGTTTCTTGGTACACAACTCAGTTCTTACATTTTGTTTCATCTTGGGCTGCTGGAGCCACAGTACACCTCTGAATGCCTAATTTCAGTCAGCCATAACTGGCTTTCCATTTGCTTACCTAAGGTTAAAAAGGAAGTTTTATATCTTCCTTATTATTATTATTATTATTTTTAATAAAGTTCACTTTTAAATAATACGTTATACTTTTGTTGCAACTGCTCCAGAGGAAAGGGGGTTAATTTCCCTAGTCAAATGCCTCCAGATTACAAGGGCCCAGAGATGGCATTATAGAGTTAGTTGTGTTGTTGGTGGTATTGTTTTCAACAGTCAGACACCAAAGCTGTGAGATCCCCTACTTGCCTCACATGGTGGTGCTAAGGGGGAGGATGCCGGATGAGGCCTCCCCCAAGAAGCGAGGTGGGGGTGGCAGAATGCCAAACAGCTATGCCAGAGAAGTGTCAGGATACCTCTCAGAAAAAGACAATTGATCAACCATCTTTGTTAAACCAGGCACAAGGCACAGTGAACAGAAGCCATCAGCTGGGATTTTCCTTTTTTTCCTTCTGAGTCTTTTTTTTTTTTTTTGGAGAATCTCTTTATCAATTTGTTTGTGTTTTAAATATTTTAAAGGGAGCCAGTTTGGTGTAGTGGTTAAGGCACTAGGCTAGAAACTGGAAGACTGTGAGTTTTAGTTCCACCTTAGGCCCGAAGCCAGTTGGGTGATCTTGGGCCAGTCCCTCTCTCCCTGCCCTAGGAAGAAGGAGGAGGCCAGGGCAAACCACAGCTGAAAATCTTGCCAAGAAAATTGCAGGGACCAGTCCAGGCAGTCACCAGGAGTCAGTATTGACTTGAAGGCACAAGTAAATAAAACTAAATATTTTAAGCCTGTGTAGGCTACAGTTTCTTTGTACTTAAGTCTCAAAATTAGGCTACCAGTTGTTAGCAGTTGTACCAACAACATTTATGGTGTGGGGTCAGAGAATGCTCTGAAGTTCCTAGAAAGAGTTCAGGTTGCCCACCTTGAATTGAATTGGCTGTTCCCAAGTTCTAGTACAGTATGCAAAGGGGGGAACCATAAAGGATAATAGAAAACTTTGAAAAGAGTGCAGAAAGATATTTCTTCCCAGGCACTGCTAATCCAAGACAAATAAGGTCCCTGCATAGCGGCTTTATAGCATTTGCATGACAGGTTTGTTGGGTCAAGAGTAGAGTTGCATGTTATGTAAATTCAGAAACCCAGTCAATCCTGGAGCAGCACAGAGTCAGCTTTAAAGAAACAGCCCTGGAATGTTGCATGAATGTGTTGTCTGAGAGAGCTAATATGAAATTGGTCCTGGTTTCAACCGCTGGACATAGAGATGAGAGCCTAGAACAGCCCAGCAAAAACAGGTTTTGTTTAGAGCAGTGTTTTTCAACCTTGGCAACTTTAAGATGTGTGGACTCCAACTCCCAGAATTCCCC